TCAAACCATGAAGATTCTATGAAAATTCAAAGAACCTATTGCAATAATACGGCAATTTCATACTTTAACCCCTAATACGAAAGGTTACAGACTGTATGACTCAAACACTAAACAGATAGTTATCAGCAAGGATGTCATGTTTATCGAAAAATGCACGAGTGCAAATAAAATCACACCGGACCCTGAACGAATGTCAAGGCTTAGTACAATGCCTCTATCTTCACAAATAGTGAGTACGAACACAGATGAATGTACTGAGGAGAGAGATAATCCACAGAATGAAATGCAAATGCAAATGCAGGATGTTACTTTATCACCTGATACTTCTTTTGACAGCTGCACGAACAGAGCAAGTGATGATGAAACTTACTGTCCTAATACGAGTGACGATTATGATAGTAATGAAACTTAACTGCCTCCGTGGCCGAACGGTTACCATGCCGGACTGCCACGCAGAGGTCCCAGGTTCGATTCCCGGGCCGGGAGAAATGTTTGTATGGCTTACATTTATTTCTCTCGTGAGTTTGGGTGTAATTTGTGGTTGTCTATGTGTGTGTCCATGGCACCCGCGACACAAGGTTTCCCTAGTGCGGGGCTATGTTGAGTGTGTGCGTTATTTATTCAAAATTTTATTTATTTAAAGCTTTGAGCGGACTATCACTTTCAGATCGCACCAGAGAGGTAATAATTTCATGTGTATTGAAGAGATTATAGATCCACTGACTGTGAAAAAGTCGAGCACCAATTCAAAAAATTGGAAAGACGCGGTGGATGAGGAGTACGAATCCTTAATGTCAAACAATACTTGGGGACTTACAAGTCTACCTGCTAAGCGCGCCTTACCATGTAAATGGGTGTTCAAGACAAAAACCAATGAAAAGGTTGACATAGTAGAGTATAAAGCACGACTGGTAATAAAAAGTTGCTCACAGAAGTAAGGAGTCGACTTCTTAAGTTTATTCACCGGTTGTGAGACTTGCTTCTCTGCGGTACTTGTTTGCATTGGCGGCAAAATACGATTTACACATAGGTATGTGTAATGGACGCTGTATCAGCTTTCCTCCAAGGAGACATAGACGAGGAGGTTTATATGGTCCAACCTACGATGTATGAGACAGGTGATCAAGTATGTTTATTAAAAAAATCTTTGTACGTATTTAAAAAGGCAGCCAGACAGTGGAATAAGAAACTTGATTTTTTATTGAAGGCCATGGGTCTTTTGCAATCAAAATTAGTTCCTTGCATTTATCAAAAGATTGAAAACAAGGAGAATATGTTATTTATGGCCATTTATATTGATGACTTGTAGAAATTCACAAATAATCAAATGTCTAATGTCTAAATGTCAAAGCTTCATTAAATAACAGCTGAACAAACATTTTAAAATAAAAGATCTTGGTAATGTATGTTATTGCCTTGGCATACATGTGACAAGAGATAGAAAGGAAGGTGTCATATATTTAGACCAAGGAAAGTACATACAAGAGGTAACTTCATAAGTATGGAATAACAGATTGCAAAACCGTCAAGTTTCCTATTGATATGGGTTCAAAGCTTGTAGAAAATTGTCAAGAAACAAAGAATGTGTTAAGTGATATACTTTATCAAGAAATTACAGGTTGTTTACTGTATGTATTGCAAGTTACGAGGCCAGACATAAGCTTAGTTATTAACACGTTAAGCAAATTTAATAACAAGCCTGAAATGCAACATTGGATCGCTCTGAAGCATATAATGCGGTATCTGAAAGGAACACAGGATTACAAGCTTTGTTACAAGTGCAATCCTGATGAAATCATGCCGCACGGTTACTGTGATGCCGACTGGGCAAGTTCGAAGGATGACAAGACGCTCCTGCAAAGGTTATACTTTCTTGTTTCAGGGTGGAGCCATCAGTTGGAACTCTAAGCGCTAGCCTACCGTAACTCTGTCGACTACAGAGGCAGAATATATGTCGCTGTTTTCGTGTGTGCAAGAAGCTTTATGGCTAAAGCAACTAAATGAGAATTTTTGGCCACAAATGAGGAATGAAGCCATGATCATCTACAGTGACAACCAGTGTAGTATAAAAGTTAGAGGTACTGATGGTTATCATCCTAGAACAAAACGCAGTGAAGTGAGACATCACTTTGTACGCGACAACGTACAGAGAGGCGTTATTGAAGTCCGCTACATTCAGACTGGTTTGATGGTAGCAGACGTGCTTGCTAAGGCTACGTCGTATCTGAAGCTGGCCTTCTGTTGATGATGGGGATACGTTTAAGGGAGGATGTTGGAGCGTAAACATACTCCTTGTTCGAAGCACGATGACTTTTGTTTCACGCGTAAAATATAATTCTCTCATAACTGTCTTCTCTATCAAACTGCACTTTCTGTTTTCTTAATATTTCTACTTCTATATTATATTCGCGTTAACATTGCTAGTTCGTATTATTTCCCACAACTTGGGTGCTGAAAACACATTATAATAATCATCATATAAATCAATCATCATCATCATCATATTACAAATCAAACTTTTGATTTCATGCCTCATTTAATATACTGATTTGCGCAGCTTGGCTGTACGTTTGAGTTTTATTCATATTTCATATTTTTCACTATGAAACAGTTCACCAAAACTTAGGTCGGCTACAAAACTAAAAGAATATTATTACCTCGGAAATTTCACAGTAGTACTAACAGTGAAAAGAAAGACAAAGTGTTGTTATATAAAGGTTTACGAACTTACCTCAAAGTGATCTTCACAACAATAAATAGTGTAAACTTTGAAGTATCTCACGTTTACTTCACGACACAACTTTTTTCGCAATTTTGTCTAATATGAACAAATATCTTGTTTGGGTTATTTATTGAACCATTCTCGTATGTATGAATAAAGCACTTTCTGTGTTCCATGGCTGTGTTATATTTGATATTTTGTCTCCCGGCAGCGAAATTAAAAGTTGCAAAGATAGTAAAGTTATGTTTACAAACGTTGAAGTGACATTTAATTATTTCTTTGCATTTTTACTTTGCATTACGCACGGACAAACCATTATAGAGCCCCTGATGACGTCATTGAATGTCAAATAAAGTTCAATACTATTCTTTGAAAAATATGAATAATCTCAGCATAATATTGACAAATACATAGAAAATATTAATCAGCAACCTTATTCCTCGAAATGGATTTCGAAAAAAAATGAACAATACCCATTATCGAACGACTATGTCGAGCAAACCACAAGGCGGCTGCCGTGAAACGGTAAATTGTCGTTACGATCTAGTGGGAACAGCTAGACACGACAGTCGTTCAACGATAAAATAATCATCCCCAACACAGCCACGACAGATAGTCGTGATATGGGAACAGGCTAGCGCGACAGTCGTCCAACGATAAATAAAACGTCACGACGTAATGCCAACGCGCCCTAAGGGTTTAAATGTAACTACTTAGTCAGTTAAGTGTTATGCTAAGTCGTACCTCGTCGTCTCTGACGTCTTTAAGTGTGTAAGACACAACTGTGACGCCCATGTTGATCAGATCGCTTGAAGCCACCTCAAAGACCTGTAACAGGTGGTGTGTGTAGTTAGTAGTCTTAGTGAAAGGAAAAAAAGAGATACTAACAAATACACACACACAACCTGTAACGAAGATTTTATAATGAACTGAATTAAACAGACATAATTATTTAGCTTGTTTTTTACTTCCCATACAAAGAATCAGTAATTTTACCAACTATATAGCTTATAGAAGAACGAAGGCAATTGCTCTATTCTAGTTAGAATCCACACTGACCTTTTTAGAGAATATCTTTCTGTCCTTGTAAATCTCTTCAACTGTCATGGAGCCCATGATAGCTCGCTGGTGTCCTTCAAGGGTCTCAAGGGCTATATTCTGAATCTCCTGCTCAGATTTTCCCAGAAACACTTCGCAAGCTGACATCAACATCTCTGCATTTTGACCTTGGATCTTGACCTAATAAAGCCAATGAGTGAGAGTTTATAATAGATATGTATTAGTAATACTATAAGTACTTAAGTCGAATCTTTAACCTTTGCATGTAATAAATAACATTAAAAAAATCATGAAATATTTTTTTTATTACAAATTTAACAAATTACAACACAAATAATAATAGACATACACATAGGGCGCACTACAAGTTTCCGGAACTGGCCACTTACATAAACAATATTTAAAAAGTAATTGCATCATTTCAAAATAGAACTCTTTGGCTTTAAAATACAGTTTGTTTCATCTGACTGTCACTTGTTCTTACATTGTGGCGTCATTTTAGAAATTGATAGTCTACATCACCATGGATTTAACTCTTAAACATTTTCGTAGTATGATTTTCTACGACTATGTGTAATTGAACAGCTCTGCGGAGCTTCCTTCGGCTTCAAACTGCTTTTGGCGATGAAGCACCATGCAACACGACTATTTATAGCTGGTTTGCAGAATTCAAACGCGGTCGTGTGAAGCACAGTGACGAATTTCGTGATGGTCGCCCGTCCACTGCTGTGAATAACAAAAACTACGATGCTGTGCGCCGTATGATCAAAACAAACAGGCATGTGACATACCATGAGTCAAATACAATAAATACTACACAAACATTTGGATGTGAAAAAGCTGTGCTCTCGGTGGATCTCACACAATTTGACTGAGGCCTAAAAAACGGATCGCGTCACTTGGTGCAAATGTTATGCTTACCAGATTCAAAGAAAGTCGTCAAATTTGGTGTGGGACACAATAACAGGTGACGAAACATGGATTTATAGTAATGATCCCAAAACAAAGCAGCAATCGAGCGTATGGGTCTTTCGAGATGAGCCGAAAACAACCAAATAGCGCGCGTGCAAAGTGCCTCTAAGCGGATGATTGCTTCTTTTTTTATCATCTTGCACTACGATAATGCCAGTTCTCACAAGACCAGACAGACAAATGAATTTTTGACGATGGACACCGTTGACCTTATGAGCGTACAGTCCCGACCTGGCACCTTGTGACTTTTATTTATTTCCAAAAATGAAGAACCAGTTACGCGGTCAACGATTTTCATTACCTGAAGAGGCTATAAAAATATGTTTCAGTGATTGTCAAGGAGGAGTGGCATAAATGTTTTCAAAATTGGTTCATTCGTATGAAAAAGTGCATTAACGCTAACGGACAATAGTTTGAGAAACAATAAATTCATTTCTAACCATTTTTAGTATTTTTTTGTTATTCATTCCGGAAACTCAAAGTGCGTTCCACGTACGTACACAATATTACTTTTAAACACCGATAAAAGCCTCTATTATTCGGGCTGAAGCACTAGGTATTATTTTATTTGAAATATAAATTAATAAATGTTTGACACGTATCATCCATGACGACTTAATGTACTTCAATAATATATTATTATGACATGATATGAGTATTATTATGACAGCAGTAATTTGCTTTCCAGAGAGTGTAAAGATCCTAGCTTGCATCGTCGAACAATATACACACACACACCTAACAGTAGAATTCGAGTCACGCCCATGGGCTATTGTAATCTATATTTACGTTCTGTGTCAACATAGCGTCTAGTAGATATGTAGCGTAGTGATGATATCATACCTGCGCGATGCCCGTCACAGAGATAGGGACGCCCTGACTCGTGTACACAGTTGGCGATTCCACCTGCAGCGTCATGGTGTTCAGTGATATCCTCTGAACTTGCTGGATACAAGGCCAGACAAAGGTGCGCCCCCCCGGAACTAGCAGGGGTTTGGAGTAGCAACATCCTGAAATAAATTTAGTAACAAAAAATTACTACAACAAAAATACAAAAACTGTCAAAACTGTGAGCTGCTACATGATTTTGTGGCTTTACGATTTTCATAATCACATGATTAAATAAAATTACATTTTTTTCACATTTTTCTACAATATCAACAACTGAGTACGAATCCGTAATATATACGAGTATATATATATATATATATATAAATTTTTATTTTATTTTATTTTATTTGCATGGCTGCAAATCCTTCTTACACTTGACTCATGATGATGATATATGTGGCCATCATTTGACGACCTCGTCGCCATCGCTGAGGTCCCGGGTTCGATCCCCGGCCGTGTCAGTGTAGAAAAACAAACCTTTCTATTTTGTCTCGAGTCCAGTGGTACCGTCGTTGTTTCCGATTTCCATAACACAAGTGCTTTAGCTACTAACTTTGTTGGGATCAGAGCAACATATGTGATGTTGTCTGATATTTATTTATTTATTTTATGAAGATAATTTTAGTAATTCTATCTTACACCTAGTTTTCATCATTTCATATAAGTACTTTAGGCTTGAATAAATTTCAGAAAAACACAAAAAAGGTCCATCAACAATGTTAAAATCTTTATTAAAAAAACATTTACGTAACATCACACAATATACAATGTAGAAACAGACAAGTGAGGCACAGCAATGAGAATAAAAATTCGCTAGGCTTCTAAATTAAGGCAATTAGTATGACTAGTCCCTAATTGATGACTACAGCTACAGCTTTTAATAGTTTCACTTGTTTTTTTGATATTTGTACAATGCGCACACACTCGCAAGTACTAGGGAAACCCAGTATCGCGGGTGCCATGGAAACACACATAGACAACCACAAATTACACCCAAACTCATGAGAGAAATAAATGTAGGCCTTATAAATATTTCTCCCAGCCCGGGAATCGAACCTGGGACACCGGGTGACAGGCCAGTATGGTAACCGTTCAGCTACGGAGGCATTAAATATGTAGATAGGCATGAACTTGAGCATGTCCTTTTCTTGAAACTTAAATTATATACTATATTATTATAAATAATTTCCCATATGCAAATCGTAAGGCCCAATAATAGATGACAGGTAAAGACCTTTCTAGGCTCAACTCACACTGGCGCAGAGTCGATGCATCGCGAAGCGTTATGTTTTTCGCCTATAGCATATTCATCTCTATTTTGCCATTATTAAGGTACAAATTTGTGTTATGCAAATATGGAGTCGCATGTCGACTCTACGTCAATATCCACATTTTTGCACTTTAAGATAGTTTTTTGACAAACAATGATAATATAGTTATTTGAAACATAATGATAATTTCGGCTGAAAGATGTTCACTGCTAAACATAATGCCACTCTCAAAAATCGCCTGAATGTTATTTGTAACTTTATGTAATTTATAACTTTACATTATTATTTTATCTATACAACCTGACACTTGATAAGTGACATCATTCAATAAGCCATCCACAAACAAAGAATTTGATAACAGTGCGGGATGCACTGTATATGCAAAACTTAAAATTGCACCATGGTTTTATTCCACTCTTATAATAAATACAGTGTATTACTCACCTAATTCCTTTGCATAGATTTCATTTTATTTTTACTGTTTTTGTAATTTTGTAAGAACAGAAAATGTATTTATAATTCTTGGAATATAAATAACATACACAATCCCATATTGGGTCAGCTAAATTGGCTATGATATGAAGCTTTCTTCTTAGGTAACGTGTTAAGCAGAGCCAACTAATAAATACCTACCTACCTAATAAACTTCTTGATTTAACAGAGATATACTACAAGTGTATTTAAATCTCTACTGCAAGGATATACTTTCATTTCACAGCATTGCAATATATTGTGTGGCTTAATTCACATAGAATCTACTACACGTTTAGGATACTTATAAAAAATAAAGTTGTCACCTCAAGAAAGATGAATTGTTGTGATTTTTCACTATAATTCCCTAACAACAACAAGCACAACAGCAAAAATTTTGATTTTGTAAGTAAATTTTATAGCAAACTAGCAGAAACACAAGATAAAACCTTTAGGTGCCATTTTCGAAAAAGTATGATCTTGTTGGTTGACATGTTATTGCTCTTCAGCATCTATCTCTCATTTCTGTATATTTGTATTATTGGATCGATTTTATAATTTTTTTTTAATAATTTGCTTCCTTCACAACACAAATAGGGGAAAAATATGACAAAAAAGTTATCCTTATAGCTTGTTTCAGAACTCCACGTTATTGTGATGTCATTATCTCTTTAAAACAACATTGTGAGATATACCACCACTTATATTGTAGGAGATTAATAAGTTTATATATGTATATAAAGATATCTTATCATGAAACCCAATTGATACCAAGCCTACCTCCTCGAATAAATCTCCTATACAATTGATTATAGATACAAGTTTAGAAATAAAATGCAAATAATTCTTTCTGTAATGGTAAAATGGTAGGATAGTCAAAACTTTATTATCTTGATTAATGTGCAAAGATATTCGCGTTGCTATAATAAGTTATTTGTTAGTCAATCACCGGAGCAGAGGCACCAAAATGTATTTATGGTAGCACTATGTATATGTAATAAGTAAATGTGTTTAAGGTTTGGCGCCAGCAAGTCGGCATAAAACAACACTACAGACAGATAAATAAATTATAATCAATTCAACCACCAAACGCCATCACCAAAAGAAACAAATGAAAACGGCTCCTCCTATTGAATTGTTTCATATAATTGAGCAAGGGATAAAAATAATCTTTAGGTACTCACCAGAAACCACAAGTGCTTCATTTGGGCCACAGGTAACGAAACCCCATTGAGACATCGTGAATGAAGACCAACAACTATCTAGGTCTGAAGGAAATAAATTAGTAGTAAACAAAAACTATAAAATTCCTATATAAAACTCACAAAATCGGCTTCATACAGAAATGGAGGGGCGAACACCACAGATTAAATGCAAATGAAGCGAACGCCGCGCAAAGTTTGATGTTACCATTACTATGACATAGGAAACGTGCAAAATATTTTAAAAGCCATCGATGTCTCGTTATAGTGTTGTTAAAAAAATACAGAAAAACTTATGCCTTTTTCTGTTTACTTTAAACTGACTTGGCACCGACTATAATTCTTCGCAATTTATATTGATTATGATTTTACATAATGACTGATTCGCTGACAGATTTCTTACCACAGAATGACCGCTCATTATTTTTTGCATATTGCTCCGTTTCGGCTACAACTTCTCGAGTCTGAAGTCGCTTTCTTGCTATCGGCGACGACGACATTATGATTTATAGTCAGTTTTTTCTACAAACCACACTAAGTGTATCTACAAGTGAAACTGAAATCGAATTATCCTTTGTTTTTATTATTGCTATTGTAAGCACATAACACCGGATTCCATGCATTTGCTTTCACGATTAAACTTAAACGGCCTATAGTGACATTCGGCCGACAGTACTTACTGCTTAAATATCTTGAGCTCAATTTTGTGGTTAGTATTGCTTTGTGACAGGTGTTATACTTTGGCCGACTTCAGCGCGTGATTGTTTTTTACAGCTCGGATGTGTTCTTTCGCACGGCCGACTATCGTTCGGTTGGTCTGCCCGATGTACAAGCTTCCACAACTTCGTGTACTTTTAGACACTAGGAAGAAGAAATTGATTTTTAGCGAATATAACAGAATTCATATAAAGGGGAAAATAATTATTACGAAGAATTTTCTTAGATAGGTACCTGCCTATTTCATTCATTAGGTACCACATACAAGAAAAAGCTGGTTGTCGCCTTTCGGCGATTTAGGACCACAATGAGAAATAGCAACATCTTCAAATAACCACTTCTACTATAGACCACTTCTTGAAATTACCATTTCTTTAAATACTAATGCTACAAAAGAACACTTCTTGATACGGTCACTTTTTGATAAGGTCACTTCTTGAAATAGCTATTTTTGTTTTGACCACTTTCACAATTCAATATGTTTCGGCTTCGGAACATTACCACAAGTTTGACGATGGACCCTTAAGTATGTACATATATACATTAGGTATTGCATACTATCGGCCGGGGGGGTAAAATCCCTCCATCCATCGTAACTGGATTTCGCAACCATTAGACAAAAACAGGCAAATAAAACATTTCAAACATTTCACCGTCATTTTTAGCTTAGATAAATATCTGGGCATTGTCCTAAATTGGCGAAAGGGTCTGGAAATAGTAAAAAACCAATTTATAATTAAAAAATGAAATGGTCAATTAAAGAAGTCGTCAATTCAAGAAGTGGTCAATTCAAGAAATGGTCAATTTGAGAAGTAACCACAATTAAAAAGGAGCTTTTAAATTGTGGTTACTTCTCCTTGTGGCCCTAAACCGACGAAAAGGGTTGTCGTACCAAAATTTGTACTTAGAGGCAGTCGAAGCAATCACTCACGCTAAACCAGGCTGCGCAGCTGGCATCCGATATAGCTGGTATGATATACAAACATTGATTTGTTGGTAGGTCAATGTATGCAAAGCTTATTTTGAAATAACGGGATTAACATAGTAGGCAGGATATTCTACTACAGCGAAACGTTGCATCTTTTATTTGAAAAATTGCGTGGCACACAACCTACGGAGGTGCAACTGAGTAGCATAATCACATAATTTTTTACGATCCAGGTTTGTTTGGTTTGTTAAGGCCAGGGACTGTCACCGCTGCTTCTTGCTCCAGGGGGCATGGCGATCAAACATTGCCTGGGACACATCATTTCTCCCTTCCGAAGTTTTGAGATGGAACGAATGGTTCAAAGAACTTTCAAATGTGTCATTCATGATAGTCCCACGTTAATCTATTATACAAAATGGTGAACCTCTATAGAGAGCTGTATGTGTTTGCTGATGCGAGCACGCTTGCTTATGCTTGCCAGTATAGCGAGAATATCACCTTAAAACTAATATCAATCCCGACGCTTAAAAAAAACAAGCCGCCGTACCTTGCTAAAATTATTGAATAGTCGCAGCAGAAAAAACAACAATACATACATTAGACATTAAAATACGGACACAAAACATTATTCGTACATAAAACATCGTGGTATCTGGACTTGTCAAAGGCATTCGACCTAGTTTCATATAAGATTCAATGGCACAAGCTGGATAGTAAGACTGGTCCACCATGCGAGTTGACTGCAATTTTAAAATTCTGGTACAGCCACCAAAACAATACAGTGAGTGGGAGGGTCCTCAATCGGATGTGTACAGGTTGGAGTGTGGAGTTAGCCAGGGGGGTTTGAGTTCGCCGCGGCTCTTCAACTTGTACATGGACGTGATGATGGGTGAGCTCAGGAGCACCAGAATTGGTTGTCATATTGATGGAGTTTGCTTTAATCATATATGTTACGCTGATGACATGGGGCGTTTGAGCCCATATATTGGCGCCCTGCGCAGGCTGCAAAAGATTTGTGAGTCTTATGCGGTGGCTCATGGGCTCAGATACAATGCGCTGAAGAATGAGTGCATGGTATTTAAAGCAGGTACTAAAACATATACCATAGTGCATTCCATTGATCGCGGCACTCCTCTAAAGCAGACAAAAAATTTAAGTATCTGGGTCACTGGGTCACCGAGGACCTATGCGATAATGCCGATGTGGAAAGGGAGCGCAGAGCGCTGGCTGTCCGTTGCAATATGTTGGCTCGAAGGTTTGCACGATGTACAGGTGAAGTAAAGGTAAAACTTTTTAAAGCATATTGCCAGTCTTTTTACACGTGCAGCCTGCGGGTCAGTTACACGCGGCGGACATATGGAGCACTGCGCAACCAGTACAACAATGCGTTCAGGATGCGGTTCCGACTTCCACCTTTCTGTAGCGCGTCAACCATGTTTGCTAAGAAACACGTACACGATTTCTACTTTATCATGCGAAAGCGTAGTGCATCGCTACTCCGTCGCATGCGTCTCAGTACGAACAGCATCCTGAGCACATTGGTGGAAAGATTGGAGTCCCCAATGCTGGGGCGGTAAATGCGCTTGCACACTGCTGCCAATGCGTAGCCAGTTGTCCTGACATTGGCTGGTTTTATTTCATTATTTTAAACCGAACACTAGCTTAAGTATTTTTCTTTACTAACAAATATTATGGATGAATGTAAGTCTGAAATAAATGGATTATTATTATTACTATTATTATTATAGTGGACAGTTATCTGTCCATAATATTAATAATAAGATAACTGTGAAGATAACGAGAACTGTTCTTAGTTGCTTGAAGTGATGCATAAACGTTAAAACAATTTCAAATATAAAACGATCAGATATATTAACTAAACAGTTATTTATGTCGTATTTTGTTTTACTCGACATGTTGTGACACTGACACGAACCAGTCCGTGGTCCTTATTCATGAGATTACGCAGTGGTGAGTCGACAGAAACTGTGCGCCAAAGTCATGGCAATCCGATCACTCAGACGGCTGCGGGCGAAGGCGGCGTCGGCGAGCAACTACCCTCGTTTGCTTCATTTTTATTAAAGTCATACGTAGGATTGTACACTACACTAACAACGTCACTTTTCTCATCCACACTAACCACTGACGTTGTATCTATCACTGTATTCCATTGGGGGGTACCCCGACCATCCACTATCTATAACGATTGAAATTCGAGTGACGACCAATCTCGAAAGCTTCATGTATTTCCGCGGAATGAAATGCTTTTTTCTCAGTACGAACACTTTATCAAAACCAATATAGTGTGCCGAATCCGAATGAGTGTTCTGTCATTGCAAAGCCCCGGTTGTCCCGGTTCTTCATACTACGTATGTGTTCCGTCAGTCATGTGGATATGTTCCGGCCGGTCTCTCCTCTGTAATTCTTGCCACAGTAGCAGGGAATCTTATATACCCCGGGAACATTCAATGGCTCCTTATCCTTCGATGAACGTACCAACTGTCTACGCTGCACGTGAGGGCGGAGAATCGTCTTAATGCTATGTCAGAGACGCTTCCGATATACTTACCTTACATTATCGTAACGAACAATATAGGGCGCTTGTTACGCCGAAGATATGAAGAACCATGGATTGGTTCGGAACATGTTGAGTAAAAAAAAATCGACTTAGATACGTGAGTGATCCGTTAGTTTAGTTAATATTAACGCTAAATTGCTATCCGGTCAGTTCTTATATAGTGCTATCTTTAAAACTGCAGGGTGTTCCCAATGTTGGCGGAGGAAGCAGGAACAGTATTTTGAGACTGTGCATTGGTTCACAGGCACTGTTTCGTTTACCCATATTTTTCCCAGATGACTGATTAAGATCAAGATTAAACCCACCATCTCGACTACGAGTTAAATTCCATCACGTCGCAAGTATTGGGACCGAGGAATACCTACTCACCCGAGTATGTTGACAACAAATCGCTTCGAACGATTTTTTGTGTCTGTGCGTAAATTTGTATATTTTTTTAATGACGTCATTGCGACTAGAAGACTTAGGTCAAGGCGGTAGGTGACTCGGTGTAAACAGCAAATGGAGGTGCAGTTGCTCGGTGTAATCAACTGCACCTCTAGTAGTAGTCTGCCGGAGCTGAGGCAGCAATCGACTGAAGTTGACTCTGTGTAATTACGCCAAAATCCCATACCTCATTATCTATTTATTGTACATATAATAGAAAATAAAATATTTCGTAATTTATGTGAAATCTTACCAATATTTTCCTTCTTTTAGCTTATTGGCGGCGCCTTTTTTAGGATTTCCTAAGCATCACTTCCGTGGAAATAATATATATAACAATTATGGCGATCGTAGCCAATATCCAGTTTCTCGTCTTTTGCTATTAAATTTCTATAAATAATAATAAATAATAAAACTTATGGTGAATTTATGATCGCTAATACCACGTTTGGAATTACACCTCTCCAGTTTTTGGGAATGGTCAAGTTTATCTTAATCATTGCCAATAAATACCACTAATGCTGTTAATGGTTATAGTACAAAGTACTCTTTGTTCAAGTCAAGCTTTGTGTGGATATGACTTATTCTTTGTTATTCCAATTTCTATACAATGGCTTCTTATATGTCTCACGATGATTCTGTCAATATCGGGATTATTATTATTTCCTTAATGGCGGCCAATTGGGCCAGTGTCAGTTAAAAAAAGATATATATTTGCATTGACGTACAATAAGTCAATGTATATTTGTCTTGATTTTGACTACATTGTTTGAACCATATTTTTTTAAATCCTCTAAGGTTTGAACTATGAAATAGAAAAAAAAATTAAGTGCTCCCTGCTACTTCACCATTCTATTCATGAATTTGAACAAATTTATTGAAGTGGTAACCCTATAGTTTACGTTCCGTTATGAACAGAATTTCTTTTAAATCCTTTTATTTTAAACATTCTGCACAATGATTTTAAAAAATATTTTAGGAAAATATATACCACTTCTTTTTGTTTTTACATTTGTAAAATATTTATCCAAGATTGTTGAATCTTCGGTGCACCCTGTGAGTAACATTTGTGTTTATGCTTCGATATATCGTTGACACATTTTTGATATCACTGTCCTTCGCCGGCTCTCAAACTTCACCATACCATATGCAATGTCCACTATAAAACTTTACCTCGTATTATGGGAAATATAAACACATTCGATGATTTGCAACTTTTCGCTGTAACTTTTTGTGTCGATATCGTAAAGTAAAAATTACATATGAGCATTTCTCCTCTTACTCGAGATAAGCAAACACTTAGTTCCTTGTCTTGATATTTGATTTCTTCGACTAAATAAAATACAAAGAATTAAAAAAATGTTTATAGCCGTCAAGGCATTGAAAACTACAATATAGTATCTTATACGACCAGAGATCAAACAGTAAAAACAATACCTAATTTTACCTCTATTGTTCTCTAATTATTATTGAAAATGGATTAATATTTTTTTAAGTATATTGGGAAGAGTTTTTACAAAAAGGGCAACCTTCTAATAAATTGACGGACGCCATGCATGCTTTATTGAGCGAAGTACTGATCGGTACAATTAATTTAAAATCATACGTTACTTTAATTTCTTTTCTTATAATATCATAATTTGAATTTACTACTTTTCTTACTATTTTTATTAGATTGTAACATTATGAACGTTGCCGTATGATATTCTTGGAAGCAAATGTACCTATTAAGATTGTCCTTAGGCGTCACATACAAAGATGTTGTCATGTTTTGTGAAATTGATATTTACTATATAGCTGCAGACTTTGGAAATATTAAAAGGAAACCTAAATTGTTTGAAACAGGTAATATTTACTTTTTGTTATTGATGATTGTTACGTCCATCAGTTGGATTTCGTGACATCGTATGTGTCCGTTTTATTTACGCCTTAATTCTGCAAACATTTTGTCTTAATGTCTCGACAGGGTTACAAAATTACCAGTGCACATATTTATTGAATATACGTACTGATTCAACACTCTGTTGGCTACGTAACATACGTTAGTTACAATATTATCAAGTGAAGAGAGTATATAAAATTAGTGCTTATTGTTTTCATTCGATGCCAAAATTAAATTGTTTCAGGATATGAAGATGTTTTGACACACTACAAGATGTTAATGCCAGGTAATCTTTTTGTTTAAATTTTTTTTTGTTTGGTTAATATGAATTTTCTTTAAAAATTAAATTGATTACAATTTTTTAAGTGAAATATATTTTATGTAGCTCGTCCACACACACAGATCCAAACAGCTAATCTGCCACCATTAATTGAAGGGGCGCTTGTGACAAAAACTAAAAGCTGAGAAAATAATGTTCATAAAAATGCAATTAAAGAAAACTCTACTTTTCTTCTATGGTAACTTCATACATTATTCATGCATGAAACAATAAAAATAGTCGGCGTTTTCAAGTAATGGTGGCAATAATACACAATAATGAATATCAATCACAAGATTTGTTGTACCCATTAAGATGTTTGCAAATAGATAGTAAACATATTCTTCTGAACGTCACCCCCTAAAGTGTAGAGAACAATTTATTGGTATGCCTTACAATGAATTAAAAATCCTTGATAAACTCTACATCAGTTGTTACAATTAAAATGATTTTTTTGTTTAAAGAGTGCTATCACTGCGACTGCAATAGTTTTCCGTAATAGTTTATAGAATTCATTCACTGTTATGAAGCCTTTGATAACACCCATTAGTTTCTGTCACAATTACAGTTATTTTTTGGCAGTGTTCTGCCCAATTTGTTTTAGTTTTAAATTGATAAAAATTATTACAGTGTGCCTGTTGAATATAAAAATATCTTTATTCTGTGCCAAAATTGATTGCTTTCCTGCTCAATCTTGTAATTGTTGTGAACTTCTTCATGTTACATTTATTGGTCGTTCGTATTTTGCTTAATCTAGCTAGACATTAATGATACCTTGTTTTGTTTTTATAAATGTTCTTTTTAAGTGTTTCCCTAATTGTATGATAACACAGTGTATTTATATCATCATCATTTATTCATTCAGTCATTTTAAATCTTACCTGAGCTTGATAGCTATAGACGAACTCATAAGTTATTAACATTAAACGAGATTTTTTTCTTAATAACAGGTCACATCTTTTGGGGCTAGATTTCGGCATAGCTACTAAGGTAAGAATGATTTGTATTTCAACATTTAATTTTTCCACCCATTCAGAATAACTATCAAAAATACTTAAATAATTTGTCTATTTTCGCTACACTTGAGAGTATGGTGGATGTTTTTCACTTCTAGACGGAATGGAAAAGGATGCGTATTTGTAGTTGTGCCAGCACCGTGAGCACCGTATATAAAATTAACTTTTAAAATTTTATACAAACAGCTAGAGTTTTATGAGCGATTTGTATACAAATTTATATGGTTATGCTCTAGCAACGCATTCTATGCTAGCATCTTCATTGATTCTAATACATCATTGATTACATACGAGACCGTTGCGATTCGCGAGAAACTAGCATTTATTGGATGTGAAACTGAAATATTGAAAATTTCCGGCTATGCTGAGAAACATTTCCAATGCCAATTCTCATTACTCAATGGCCGGCTACTGTCGTAACACAAGTCTTTACATTGTCCGAGATGGCGTATCTTGACCGTCCTAATCTATGGTGCACAAGCGTACACAAATTTGTAATATCATAGAACTGATAGATTTAAATATTGTTAGATGGCACTAGAACTAAAATTGTCGAGGAAGATGATAAATCAGTTAACTTGTACAAGGAAACGTTTGTTGCGAGCATCTCCTAATTTTTTTCCTAATAAGTCGTAGTATATAACTACCACTCATTAGGAAAAAAGTTAGGAGATGAGGTTGACAACTTCTATAGGATTGTGTACGATTTGTTTGGGTGGGTATAGTGGAAGAATAATGGTGGAACGTCTTGGAACTCGTACGTCCCATTTCAGGTATTTTCGATCACGTATGTGAGAATTATCGGAGTGATGTCTCTAACATCAAGTTTTTGTAAAACATGGTCCTATATATTTTACGCGCAATTTCTACAACATCGCACGCGTGACTCTGAGCAGGTTCCCATAAGAATTACCCTGACAATACGATGGAACAACTCCACGGAAGTAACTTATATCGATATTCATTATTTGTATTCATTATTTCTCAATAACGAATGAAAACCATGAATTCCCAATAACGAATGTCATGTGAATTTAACGTGCTTTCACGTTTTTTTATTAAAAAATAGTCAGGACAAGTCCTGAACAATTTTAAACGATGGGTGTTGCTTTTTTTAATGATTCTGAAGGATTTATGGTTGTCTATGCGTGTGTCCATGGCACCCGCGACACAGGGTTTCCCTAGTGCGGGTCTATGAGTATGTGCGTTATAAAAATAAAATAAAATATATATTCTTGTGATTCTGATTCTGTAATCGTATACGTTATAGAACCAGACACGGTTTCAGAACCAATTTAATAAGAATATGTTTCAATTATACTAAGAAAGAGAATTCTGCATTCCGCTGGAAAATATAGACAAGAAAGCTATCATGGGTACAAAAAATATGATTAAGTATCTTTACGCTCAATAAATTGAACTATTTATTTACAAAGACTATTTATTATTTAAAGCTTGAGTAAAAAATAACAAGTGACAAAATATGCAGACCCTTCAGTAACCGAATCCACCAAATTAATGAAAATAATTATTTTGTGCAATACTCGGACATACGCCAGTTATTATTAAGTTTTCGAGTTCAATATTGAACATAAGGCCTATTTATCTTCATAACTTTATCTTTATCAGTAACTTTTTGGGAGGACTGGTATAGGTAAGACGTGCTTTAGTCTGTTAAGCTGGGTATATTATTATTTTTAAATGCGCTTGCGCTAAATAACACAATCAATACAATTTTGTTCCTTATAATTTTATGACAAGAATAAAATTTTAGGTAAATATAAACAAATATGAATTATAGTTATTCAGTACGTAAGCAACTTTTATACGCATGATGAACTGGACTTATGGACGTGTAACGCGTTATTGTTGGCAAAAGATGATAAAGTTTTCGCAATAACTGCTTAATAATTATCAAGTGCGCGAATCGATGTGAGTCGTCGCCGAGGGGTCTCCAGGAGGCGAGGGAGGCGTTGTTGGAGGTGCGGGGTAGCGAGGGACGCCACGGCACCGCGCAAGTCGCCGCCCGTATCGACCGCCCCGGATGTGCATTGCAATGCCGTCGGAGAGATCAGCCGACCCACCTACTCGCGGAACACCACGACCGCGTTTAGATCTAAAACTCAAATGCATGATATAAATCATCGAAATTACAAAAATTGCACATTTAGTTTTTGACAACATAGAGTCTGCTGGTGGAAAGATGAATCTCTTTTGCGCCCAGAGCTGAAATTTAATATTGGTTGATTACTTATTTGCTTTATTATTTACTGGAACTTATTTTTTAATTTCACATAAGTATCAATTATATGGTACTTACCATATTTAATTATTAGGAACCCGTAAATTTCTCATGGTGACGAATTATTTTATAGAACTCTACTTTCTTCAAGTTACAAAAATTGTTTCATCCAAAATTGTGTACGATAGATTGATAGTATACGATTTATGATAATAATAATATGATTAGTTAAATTTATGCATGGAGAATTCCCCGCCGGAACTGTCGGAGGGAGTATCTATTTCCGACAGTAGCCGGTCAATGACTCTGATCCGGAACCATAGCTGAGCGGTTGGCTAGGGTGCAGCCCATAACAATTGACACTCATCTTCTTCGACAACACGTCGCACTTCTGTAGCACAGAAGGTATATAACGCACTCATATGATAAAACTTTTACGAAATACTGTTTTCACAGCTTCGAGTACGAACCATTTTCTCATTTTATTTTTTTATTTACGGAAATTCGTATATTTACTTATTATTAGAGAAGTACTGAGCTGCCCGTAATTGAATAGAAATAGAAAGTCGTATCTGGTAGTCATAGAGGCAATGTAAATATTTTAAAGATTTACATGAGAACAGCTCATTACATTTGGCAGCTACGGATATATGTAATTTCACCAGAAAGATTACAAATTTTGTTACTGCCTTTCCCTCAAAATTTGAAATACTATTGTCTGTCTTGCCTTGCTTCCTTCAATGTTTTGTATGTGAATAATATCATTCCATAACAACCGTCGTCCGGACAACTATTCCATCTTTTGGACACAGAAATTGTGCTTCAGTGCAGTATTTGTTAAAACGTCGGCAACTGTGTTTTTTCGTGTTCAAGTATATCACCTCGATAACTTTTTTAGAGTTTCCCGTATAACAGCTTATAATTATAGAGTATGTCTACGTGTCTTGTCGCTGGTGTTGGTGGATTAGTGACCCCGCCATGTCAAACTGTCTCCTTCGGACTGATGTACTCTACCTTTCCCGCAGGCTACGCTCGTTTGTTTCTATCCACTCCATGATACTGCAGCTGACAATTTTTAACACAATATTTAGCCTGTCAACAATGTTCCCTTAGTGGTCAGTATCTAAGTAGAGTGTAGTATTCTAAGAGTCGTATTCTAGAACTCTACTCAACGCCATTTTTTAAAGTACCTATTAATCATCTTTGGTTGCACTCTTTTCATTACAATCCAGCATGCCTACACATAACAGTTGGAGAACTGGCATTAAAGTTCATGGAGAGACCGACGTTAGGTAATATGCGATGGTGTGTGGACTACGCTGTCACATTTGGTGTCGCCGGATACGTGGAGAAGTACAAAAATGTTGAGTTTAATTAATTATGTTCCCCAAAAATTAAGTGATAAAGTAAATAAAACCAATCCAGGAATTCAAACTTATATCAAGCTTTTACTCCTTATTGATAATTGTCCGTAATGACTAGGGTTGGTGTTCTCTGTTTGTGCAGAGTGCTCTATTTGTTCCAGATGGAAAACAGCATTGCTTTCCGGATTGTGTAATAAGGAGAACTAGCACAATCCCAGAGCAGGAGACAAAATCTTATCTCTTTCGAATTTGCTACATTAAAGACACTTCTTTTGCGTCGCAAACCGCATTCCAATCATACGGGTCGTCTCTCTTACCGTTGTCAATAGTAGGTATTTTAAAATATTCTCATTGATTATGCGATAATATTTGTATATGATAATATTGATGATAATATTATTGTTGATGATAAATTATGATTATATGATAATATTATTTATACACGTATTACGACAACCAGGCGCTAGTAGTCCATTATAGTTTCTTAAACAATTTAGCACGCAAAAAAACTACGCGCACTTCTGAGTAAAATGCGTTTAAGACAAACAGTTCTTGGAAAGGTCTAACGGCCGCGGTGTCGTTCCCGGCGCCACGTCTTTCTCTTTCTTATCGGCTGCAGCAGCTGCATAATGCGCTATCGTCATTGCCACTACCGATGTTTATGCAATGCACAACTTGTAGGTCTCATCCTTCAGTTTCTTTTTATAAAATTGATTTCTTAAGCTAAATTTTTTTTTGGACAATAAGAAGTTATTGTGAAGTCTGTGTTAAAGTATTTACTAAATGCTTCGTCAATTTCGGGTTTGTCTACTTATTCAACTTTGCCGCATCCAGTTTATCAATTTATAAACCTATAGCTCTGTTTGGTTACTGCGGGTATTTGCACTGCATACTGATTTTGTTTAAGCACAAGATATGTTGCGTTCATAGAAATCAACGTTTCATATCTGTTCCACAACATACATGTAGACCTTTTTTTAAATCGTGCTTCATTTGAATTGACATGCCATGATGATTATGATTTTGTTGAACAGAATGAACATTCTGAAAACAAGGTAAGAAGTAAAATACAAATTAAAAGGAAAAGAAATTTATTTTGTTATCAAACAAACGTGAAAAATATTTTTAAGTCAAATAATCTACTTTGGAACAATGCTATTTCTAAGGTAATAAGTAGAGTTATTTGTTGTGCCCTTATCCTTTCATCATCATCGTAACTCCAGCCGAAAGACGTCCACTGCTGGACATAGACGTCCCCCAAGGGTCGCCACAACGACCCTATCATTTAAATTAAGGTTAATAAATTGCTCTTTCGCCATTAAACATTAACGTCAGCCCCCGTATCATGGCTACGCATGATAGTCGCGA